GATGTCTGGAAGAACATGCATTTCTCAAGTGAAAGCTTCAAGCCAAACTCTTTGAGTCTGGTGAGAACTTTCAGCAGGCGAGCTTCATGTTCCTCAAGAGTTGGTGCAAAAACAATGAGATCGTCAATGAAAACCAGGACTTCTTTTAGATTTAATTCTCCCATGCATCAGCCGTTGGAATGTGCTTGGTGCATTGGTAATCCCTTGTGGCATCCGATTAAATTCCCAAAATCCTAATGGGCAGACAAAGGCAGTCTTTGTCTTATCCTTCTCCTCCATTTCAATTTGGTAGTAACCTGACTTGCGGTCTAGCACCGTGAACCACTTTGATCCTGCAAGTGCGGAGAAGATGTCTTCCAGTTTAGGCAGAGCATAAGCATCTTTGATTGTTTGCAGATTAAGTTTGCGGTAGTCAATACAAAGACGTACACTGCCGTTCTTTTTGCGTGCAACCACAATTGGAGAGGCAAATGGTGAGTCAGATTCTCTGATAACGCCAGAGTCAAGAAGTTCTTGCAGGTGTTTCCTTACAGCATCAAGATCTTGAGGGTGAATTGGTCGGGGTCTTTGCTTGAAAGGAGTTGGATCGGACAATTTGATTTGGTGTTTAACTTTGTCGGTCCTGCCGAAATCCAGATCGTGTTTGGCAAATACTTCAGGAATACTGTTGAGTTTTTGAACAATGCGTTCTTTCCAGTCTGGAGTTAAAGGGGAATCTCCAAAGTTGTATTGTGGTTGAGATGGAGGTAACGACTCTATAGACTGGTCTGAATACTGGATATGTTGCTCTTTGGAAATGACTTCCTGGAAGGCACTGATTTCTGCAATAATAGCTCGAGCTGGAATGTGGATTTCATGGTCAGACTCATTACTCACTACAACAGGCAGAAAACATGGCTGATGTTTAGGTAAGTCCACAAGGCAGGTTTTTACTAGGAGTCCACCAGGCAGAGAACTGGAGGTGGGGTGTTCCAGAATAACTGCTTTCTCACCTTGGAATAGCCTTGTGACCAGGCATCCCTCAAGGACAGTGGTTTGGCCGGCAGTAATGGTATGTGGTTGGTCTGACTTCAAGGAGCATACTGGTCATTCGAATTCTGGACGTGGCGACACTGGAGGATTTTATAAACTGCAATGTAAGTTGGCAGGAATGACTGCTCAGAGAGGGTATCACAGTGTTTGCTGTACGCAACGTCAAGAGTGTTGGTACCAACAAGTATCATTGGGGGTGATTGCTGGACGTCAGGCACGACAAGAGCAAGTGTATCAACATTAATGGATGAACCAAGAAAATCAGCTGGGAACGTCATGTTAATCTCAATGTATCCCGGGTAAGGTACGGCTTGTCCATTTGCTCCTTCTACTTCCAACAGATCATTCAGTGGTTTGATTGGATGGTCTGAAAGATAGGTGTTATAGAAGGAATAAGGAATGGTAGTAACCTGAGAGCCAGAATCAAGAAGACAGTTGAAATGGTTGCCCTTGATTTGAATTTGTCCTGTGCTTTTGGTCCCCACAAGCCCTTTTGGCAGCAATGGAAATTATTTGTGGTTTCTGGGACTGTTAGTGCACGCAGCTCCTGTGTGTCCCACCGCAAAAGCTCCTTCTAGTTTAAAGATGAAGTATTTCTAGCGTCCCACTCTTGCTGTTTTTTCCTTAATTGGTTCTTTTTCTGTTCAACAAGACTGGAGTTTGCTCTGTTGTTGCAGGTGGAAGAAACATGGCCATCTTCTCCACAGTTAAGACAGTACCATGGCTTGGGTTTGGTATTTGACTGAGGTGAAGAATGACTGGACTTGTTTTGTCATGGCTTAAACTTTGACTCGGTTGGACTTTTTCGGGACAAAAGTTGGGACATTTGCTGTTGGAGGGTTTGGAGTTGTTTTTTCATTTCTTTTAGCTCTTCATTGGCTGTAGAATGCCAACAAGAACAAGTGCTTTGGGATTGGATGTTGGCTTTTTGTTTTGATGAACCGATGTATTTTTTCATAAGTGACTCCTTAGCAATTTGTCTGTCTTCTTCTGTCCGTAACGACAACAATAAGTCAGAGAAAGGTGGTGGGTTGTCCTTTTGCCGTTCTAATTGTAACTTGGTTAGTATAGTGTTATCCCAACACCCACGACAAAACTGCTTCAGCAGATGTTTATTCATGTCAACAGCTGCAAGTCCTCCTTGCTTTACAACAGTGCTGAGGGTTAGCTGCAATCTTTGGAGGTAAGCGGATGGTCGTTCACCTGGATTTTGAAGAATATTTAAGTATTGAGCATACAATTCTTCACCATCTTGAACTGTTCCAAAAGCGGAGTCAAGTACACTTAGTATGACTGAAGGCAATGTGTTGGGACTTAGCCCTTTAACCAAATCAGCAGCAGGTGACAACAGGCTCTCTATAATACGTCTGGCGACGTATAGAGCTGACAAACTGGGGTCGGCAAGCAGTAGATCAATTTGGGAACGCCATGATTCAAAATCTGCTTCACTACTTGGCTTAGGAATCCTTCCTGAAAAAGCACGGAGACGTAGTGAAGTTGTGGTGCCTATGTCTGGGTTTCGGACCACATGCTCAACAACAACCCTTTGTATTTGTGGTGGGTTGAGATCATGGGCTGTGAGTTATACTCTTGGAGTTGGTCCAGTCTGGCTTTGACGCGGTCGTGCCCCCTGCTGGTCAGTGGAAACCTGTCCGGCAGGAGGTGAAGACCTCGTCGATTGTAAGGTAGTGTAAAGATGGATGAATCGGCCGGGTTATTGCACGCTGTCAACTGGTCTGTAGTGTAAAATTTGTCGATATCTGACAAGTACGCCAACCACAGGGACAACAGCAGCCAAAGGAGCACTGACATGCAGCTGATTGACCCGGAACTTATACAGGGTTCATTCCCGCCACAATAAAGGGACTGGCGGAAGTGGGGTCAGAAGTTACCGTGGTTACATGTCCCCTATTAAAGATTTAGTCTTTATAGTCATAATCAACATTATTTTGTATGTTTAATGCTATTTATTAATTGTGTTTTATATTATTTGCCCATCATGTCCTGTTCAGAGCCGACCGACAGTCCAAAACCGGAAAGCAGTTTCCTACAAAGAAACTTTTCCCAGTTTTGATCAAGAGCTACGATGTTCAGTAACTGGCGATCTCGTTTGTCCCTGTAGGAGGGTCTGGAGCACCCCCTGCTGAGCCGCTGGGCTCAGTACCTTGCAGGCAGGTCCGATGATGCCTTCATCATCTCACCTGAGCTCAAAATTCTGGTGCGTGAAGGCGTCCCTCGGGAGTATCGGCAGAGAGTGTGGCGCTGTTTGGTCCGAACCAGAACTTTGACAAGCCAAGAGTGCCACATGCAACGCTATCAGCAGGTACAGCTGTAGAGAGAGAGAGTGCTTTATCCGCACCTGAGCACAGGTGGCTCCTCCTTCTTCCTGTTGGGAATGCTGGCGAGCACTCAGTAATCCTGTTCTGTTTCCAGCTGTGTGAGAAGAGTCGGACAGCTCCTAATCCTGCCTCCAGGCAGGTCCAGCTGGACCTTCACCGAACCCTGACGACCAATCAGCACTTCTCTTCGCCGTCCAGCCCCGCCCTCCAGCAGCTCCGCCGCGTCCTTCTGGCCTTCTCCGGGCATAACCCTGCCATTGGCTACTGCCAGGTACTCAACAGGTCAGAACAAAAATATAAATATTATATCTGAGTTCTTATGTGGACCCGCCTTCCAGGCAGAACCTCACCTTCCATGAATGTCCACAGGTTAGCGGCCCTCGCTCTGCTGGTCCTCCAAAGTGAAGAAGACGCCTTCTGGTGTCTGGTGGCAGTGGTGGAAGCCATCATGCCTCAGGACTACTACACCAAGAATCTGGTGGCCTCTCAGGTCAGCAGACACACTCACCTGCTTGCCTGCTGTGATCTGTTTTAGTGATCAGTGAGGCTGATCTCTGTGAGTCTTTGTGCTCAGGCGGACCAGCGCGTGCTGAAGGACTTCATGGCGGAGAAGCTTCCTCGCCTGGCATCTCACTTTGAGGATCACAACATTGACGTCTCTCTGGTCACCTTCAACTGGTTCCTGGTGGTTTTTGTGGAGAGTCTGCCCAGCGACATCCTGATGCCTCTGTGGGACGCCTTCCTGTATGAGGGTACCAAGGTACCATACACCCGAACACACCATGACAGAAATGCAGACAACACTTGAATGCACCACAGTAGTGTCCATGGAAACAAAAATGATTTTGTTTTGACCTTTAGATGTCTTTATTTACATTTTAGGAGTAATAAGACATTGTTTACTAAGCATGGGGAACTGTCATGTGACATGAAATAGGAGTGGGAAAGCAGATCATTCTAGTAAAGACCTCACAGTCTACCACAAGCAGCGTAAATCCAGACGATGAGCGGGACAATGGCTTTGGGCTTGTTTCTGCAATGTGACAAATGCAGCACAGCTTTTACATCGTTTGTCTCAGGAAATAAAATCACAGTTCAGACACAGAAATATATACCACACAGGGATAAATGCTGACAACAGCTTCAGCCACGTAGATCCAACCCAAAAGTTTAATTTAAACTTAAAGCTCAACTACCAAGTAAGTTAATATTATCTGGCAACTGAGGAACCAAGTGGCTTATTGGAAATCGATCAGAGCTGTAATGAGTAAAGGGCCCAACTGCACCACAACTGAAAGAGTAATTTTATGACTCACCTCCTCAAAGTTTCCAATTAATTGTGTGGCGTGAGTGTCCTGTTATGAAATGCGTGTCTGTGCTGCAGGTGATCTTCAGATACACTCTGGCTCTGTTCAAATACAAAGAGGACGACATCCTGAAGATTCACGACAGCGTGGAGATCTACCAGTACCTACGCTTCTTCACAAAGACCGTCTCCAATGCCAGGTACGCACTCGCCTCCACCCGCCTTAATCTACGAGCTGTTACACTCTCAGAAGTGTAGCGGATGTAGCTGTTGAATCTTTGAGCTTCAAACCCTTTTTACTGAAATTTTGTGAGAAGTTTAAATTTCCCTGATCACAGTAACAACGATTTAAAGATTTTTAAGTATCTGCAGCTCTCGGATACATGTGGTCCAGTCAGTCCAGTATTTCCTGCTCAAACTGCAGTACCTGAAGTATCAAGCAGCATAAAACAGAAACACTCAAGCTGATCAGTTTCCAGTTCCTCTGTGTTGGTGATCGAGTCCTTTCCACCTGCGTGTGTCCATGCAGGAAGCTGACCAGCATCGCCTTCAACGACATGAACCCACTCCCCAGCCGGCTGCTGAGGAACCGGCGAGTGCTCCACCTGGAGCGCCTGCAGGCGGAGCTGCGTGAGCTGGAGGAGCAGCACAAGCAGTTCATCACCGAGAGCGTCGTACGGAAAGACAAAGAGCTCGACGTCATGGTGAGCGAGGACGACGAGGACCTCTGATCACACGGGACGCTTCAGCTGCTCACTTCGAGACGACGATGAGTTTTCCATGAGTTCAAGAGAATTTCACTAAACCGGCTGTTAACTGGTTTCCTTCACACTAAACACAGGATTGTGTCAGGTTCACCATCTCTACTAACACTACAAGGAAACAGACGCATACAGATTTAACTGCATCACATGTCTGAAACAAGACTTGCAGTAAACAAATGTGTACTGTGTTCATGTGTGTAATAAGTCAGGCTGCAGAAATGTGCAGATGTATTTCAGTGAATTCATTTGGATTAATATGTGATAGCTTATTTATTTCATTGCATCTTTTGCTTTATACCTAAAAATGTGTGACATTTCTAAATGTAGTCACATCCCTATGAAACATGGTTGATTATCACCTGTAGTCACAGCTGGTGATAAAGTAATTAAATGTCCAGCTATTCAAAAACAGGGCATTCTGCACAATGAGTACTTTTTGGTACTTGAAGTATATTTTGATGCTGATGCTTCAGGGCATTGTGCTGCATTGTCGAAGCTCTCTGGGCTTCCGGTTAGAACGACCTCACAGTGTTTTATTTTGATCTGGTGTAAAGTGCATTGTGCGGAAATGACAGCATGATAGTCACATGATAAAACTGACTTTCTTTTTCTTTTTTTATTTTACTGGGTGTGCATCTTGTTCAAATGTCTTTTTCAGCATTTGTACATAAATATTCTGTATATAAATATTTGATTTTCATTTATTTTACAGAGTCCTTTATTTTGTTTCACAAATATGACATTCATGTCAAATGACATCTGCAGACTTTATAATGACCAGCAGGGGGCAGTGTATTGCAGTCTATGAGAACATTTACTGAGACCTGTTTCATGCACTAGTTTCATGTCTCATTGAATCCAACATGATGTTGATTTTGTAAATTAAGGTCACATCTTCATCACATCTAATTTCAAAACACTGATCAATTTTTAAAATGAATTCCATACCAATTGCAGGAATAAAATAGGAATAAATAACAAACGAGAAATACATACAAAACAAGAGAAAGGCACACATGAGAGAACAGGTCACATGACAGCACAGCATTATCTACCCACAATTTGAACTAAATAACAGATAGCACAGGCAATGAAAACAAACGGAAATCAGAATAAATTTAAAAACTTTTATTGATGTTAACTTGAAGTGCTGAATTAGCCCTGTTGTCAGTTCAAATCACTTCAATCTATAGCGCACTTTAAGGTCTTTAGACCTTAAAAAGTAATACACTGCAAGGTAAGCTTGCAGCATCTTACTTTAAGGTCAACTGTGAAACTTTGTGGAAAGCCTGAGACAAGTTGATGAGTCAGTGAAGCGCACTTCCTTCTGATGACGGCTATACTGAGGTGAGTTTTTAAGCATATCCTGAACTTTATTCATTATTAGACTTCTGACACCTGGCAAATAAACTCTCACGCGATATGAGAACATAACAGCAAAAAGCCAGTAGCTGGTACATGAATGGATAAAAATTGGATCCCTCTTAGATTGAATTGGTTGCCCTCTTATATTACGTTGTTTTGAACCTAACCGCATCCACTGAATTAATGCAGTTTTCAGGACAGTAAAAACAGAGAACTCTGATATACACAATTTCTGATTGCTGATAGTGTTTCTTAATGCAAAATGGGCTTCCATTTAAAATGCAATTGCTTTATGTTCGATCTTTAGTGAAGAAGGGTCATTTTTGATTCTGTGGACAAGGGATGCAAATGGAATGTGAAGACAACAGGTAGTAGGGTGAATTAGGGTTTCGTGTGGTCTTCAGTGCATGAATTTTATTGCCACTTTATTTCAACTTTTTATTAATGTACTCAAAAGAAAAACAAGAACCACAAAGGAGATTCTTGTGATTCTTGTTTGTGCTATCTGTTTGTGAAAGAAAGCACATTTTACCACATCATACTGTGTTTGCTGCCATTTATTTTACTCGTCCTGCCTGAGTGTCTGGGCTGCGTTTGTCTGTGCACCTTTGTTCTGGCCTTCTGCTGATGGGTTTCACATGCTGGGCTTTCCCTCTTGGTCCACATCATACTGTGTTTGCTGCCATTTATTTTACTCGTCCTGCCTGAGTGTCTGGGCTGCGTTTGTCTGTGCACCTTTGTTCTGGCCTTCTGCTGATGGGTTTCACATGCTGGGCTTTCCCTCTTGGTCCACACCCAGCAGCCTGCTGCTGACCACACACAGCCTACAAACTGATCCATCCATGCATCCATCCATGCATGCATGGCCTGGTTATTGTTGAGTTATCACCTCCAGCTCCTTGCTCATAACCAGGTAGATACTGGGCTGGGCCTGATCTCTGAGCTCAATAACAATGACAAAAATGCCAAACACTTTACTCTTCATGGTAAAAAATGTTTATAATACAGTAAAAACTGGATGTAGCCAAAATCAGTGTTTTATATACAGTGTAAGTGAACAACATTGCTACACTGCTGGTGTTTGATTGATAGAGGCTTTCTTTATAAGAACTATGATATCATTTCTTTTGCTGATTAACAGTTTTTATATCATTTTTATATCATATATAGCTTTCAAGAAGCCAAAGATCACTGGACTAAAAGACTACAGACCTGTGGCTCTGACATCTGGTCAGGAAGTCTTTTGAGCGCCTGGTTCTCTCCTATCTTAAGACCCTCACGGCCCCCCTCCTGGACCCCCTGCAGTTTGCATACAGAGCCAACAGGTCTGTAGACGATGCCATTAACATGGCCCTACACTTTGTCCTGCAGAATCTATGCCAGGATCCTGTTTGTGGACTTCAGCTCTACCTTCAACACCATCCTTTCAGGCCTTCTTCAAGGATTGCTTTCCCAGATGAATGTGCCTGATCCCATCTGCCGGTGGATCACTGACTTCCTGACGGACAGGAAGCAACCAGTGAGGCTGGGGAAGAATGTCTTGGACTCCCGGATCATCAGCACGAGCTCCCCTCAGGGCTGTGTTCTTTCTTCTATGCCCTTCTCCCTGTACACCAACTGCCGCACCTCCAACCACCAGTCTGTCAAATTAATTAAGCTTGCAGATGACACCACCATTATTGGACTCCTCTCAGACGGGGATAAGTCTGCCTACAGGATGGAGGCTGAACATCTGGTGTCCTGATGCAGCCGCAACAACCAGGTGCTGAATAAGTGTTATTTTCATTTACCACTGGCCCAAGTACATTTTTATTGGCTTGTGAACAAAGCTGTAGTTTTTGTATTTTTAAATATTAACGCAATTTAATTGAGACATTATTTATATTATTTCACTTTCAATGTGAAAAATGCTGTAAAAACGTTGAAAATAATAGTCACCCCTGTTCGCTGCAATGTAAAATAGTACAACTGCTGTCAGCCTTCATTAAGTTGCATCATTTAAACATTTGCATATTTTTATTCAACTTCTGCAGGATGCTTTGATGAAAGACTCCCTTTTCTCAAGTAGAGGCTTTACTAGAGGTCACAGGAACAGCGCTGCTGTTTTGGATGCGGAAAAATGTTGTCTTTCACTCTACCTGAGCTCAGTGTCTCAGTAAGGGCTCCGCCTCATTGTAGCTGACGCTGAAATGTTTGTGTGGGTTGCCATGACAACACCAGAAATGCATCTGAGATCGTGTCCAAATTCATGGGCTGCATCCTCCTGAGGACTCGGTGTTCTGACAAAACGTCTTACTTTGGCAAAGCGTCCTACCGTAAGTAGTTCATGCGTTCTCGGCGGCTCTAGTGACCCTCGAACTCTCGGCTAGCTATCGAGGTGGTGGATAACATACGTCTCCCCCACAAGAGCACGAATCTACAAATCTTTTAGATGTGGATGACTGTTCATTTTCATCTGTGTTTACAGAAACACTGGGTGTTGGAACCTCAGTAGTTTCTTTTTGGCTGACAGACTCTGGAGCTGTACCAGAGGAATAAAGAGCTGCAATGCTTTCGTGAACCTGACCTGGGAAGGGAGAGAAATATATTTTTGTTTTGTTTTTGTTTGTCTTCTTGTTTTATTTGATTCCTTGTGGGATTTGGATCCAACAAGTAAAGTAGGCATATTATGCACACACACAAACACACATGCAGCTATTACCATTTCTTGTATTCTTGAATAAAGACATTGATCTGACACATTTAAAATGCAGCCAATTGTTTTTATTCTTATATTATTTAAAAAGAAAAGAAAAGGTGGGGGGATGTAAAGAAGAGCTTAAAGGAAAGGGCTAGAGGAGAGAAAACCCCAACAATTAGCAGGGCATTTTTTACTTGGACAAATTGTTAATAAAGTTTCCATATCTGTAACAATGATGACAGTATAATTGTTTATAAACAATTATATTGACAATTATATGTGTCCAGTATGTTGGCTCATTTTCTTTTACTTTTTGCATTTGAAAATAAAAGTTGGGCTGATTTTGACACCATTACAAGAAGTGTTGTTAATGATTCTTTTTGAATTAAAATCAGGTTACCACAAATTGTTTTTTAATTTAATTTAATTTGAAATGTTTGTCAGTGGGTAAACAATTCGTAATGCAAAGTCAGAAACATCGAGTTATTCTTGTACTGCATGCTTGCAATAAATAAGTTGTCCTAACAGTCAGTCAAAGGAGCTTGGAAAGAAAAGCGTCTGGACTTCTTTGAGTTGAAGTGACTGATATATATATTTTTTGTCTGTTTGTTTTGTTGTTTTTTGTTTTTTGCCCTTTATCACCATTCCTCTTCCCTGTTGTTTTTCTTTCCCTCTTTCTTTCTCCCCTTTCTTTCCCCCAGTCATGTCTGTCCTATGTGTAGCAAGTGAAAATAAAATAAACAATAAAAACAAAGGTGAATCAAATAGACCAATACGGCAAGGCCGGGATGGTCCATTTGGTAAAGTAAATCCGTTAGTTATAATTAACAGAATGTACAATGGTAACATTCTGTTTACAATGTTACCATTTTACATTGTGTTAAATGGTAACATTCTGTTTACAATGTTACCATTTCACATTGTGTTAAATGGTAACGTTCTGTTTACAATGTTACCATTTCACATTGTGTTAAATGGTAACATTCTGTTTACAATGTTACCATTTCACATTATGTTAAATGGTAACATTCTGTTTACAATGTTACCATTTTACATTATGTTAAATGGTAACATTCTGTTTACAATGTTACCATTTCACATTATGTTAAATGGTAACATTCTGTTTACAATGTTACCATTTCACATTATGTTAAATGGTAACATTCTGTTTACAATGTTACCATTTCACATTATGTTAAATGGTAACATTTGTTTACAATGTTACCATTTTACATTATGTTAAATGGTAACATTTGTTTACAATGTTACCATTTTACATTATGTTAAATGGTAACATTCTGTTTACAATGTTACCATTTCACATTATGTTAAATGGTAACATTCATGTTTACAATGTTACCATTTTACATTATGTTAAATGGTAACATTCTGTTTACAATGTTACCATTTTACATTATGTTTACGATGTTACCATTTTACATTATGTTAAATTGTAACATAATGCTTAACAGATAATGGTTATCCTATTTTTATATCATACACAGTTGTCTTTTTCACAGGTATTGATGGTAATTTGCAGTGGTTTATTATTGATTGAAATACCTGTGAAGTCCTGTTGGTTTTTAATGATGATTTTATTGTTGTTTCAATATTATCCAAGGGTGCAAACGTGGTGGAAAATCAAAATCAGAATTTAACATTGATCCAAGATCAGACCCTAACATTGTTTCAATATAGGACAGCGAACTGGATGAAAGTGACAGCGAGTACGAGAGGATCCCGGAGTCAGGCCTAAGGAACAGTTAGGAGATCAGGGGTCAGTTAAAGGTTATCAATATCTGATGTGTGTAGGTAAGGAATAGTGTGTGTGTGTGTGTATATGTATGTACTTCTATGAACATCAACTTGGTGTTTCTTAAAATGA